GAGAGAAGGTTAACAAAAGTCGTATTTTTCATCACCACTTCAACACAACCTTTACCACTTCAGGATGCAGCCTGCCTAAACAGGTGGTTTTCAGGGTCTTCAAACCTTTCACCACTTCGGGACACCCTTCACCACTTCAGGATGCAGCCTCCCGAAACAGGTTGTTATCAAGGTCTTCGTACCTTTTACCACTTCAGGACCATTCAAGATTTTCAGACTGCCCAAAACTCTCACTTCACCACTTCAGGATGCAGCCTGCCTAAACAGGTGGTTTTCAGGGTCTTCGGACCTTTCACCACTTCAGGACCATTCGGGATTTTCAGACTGCCCAAAACTCTCACTTCATAATTTTCATTCCTGAATTTTCAGCTACACGTTCATCACTCGTGAGTGATGCCCTTTGGACTGACCAATGCGCCAGCCACATTCCAACGCTGTATGAATGGTGTATTTAGGCCTTGGCTAGATAGGTTTGTTGTAGTCTACCTAGATGATATACTAGTTTTTAGTAAGACCCTCCAAGAGCATCGGGGTCATTTGAGGCAGGTCTTGGAGAAGTTGAGAGAGACTGACTTCAAGATCAATGCGAAGAAGTGCGAGTGGGCCAAGACATAAGTTTTGTACTTGGGCCACGTATTAGACGAAGATGGCATTAAGCCTGAGGATAGCAAGATAGCGGCGATTAGAGATTGGCCGACGCCCCGCACGATGACAGAATTGTGGTCGTTTCTAGGCCTAACTAATTATTATAGGAAGTTTGTAAGGAGCTTTTCCACTATTGCCGCTCCCCTTCGCAGGTTGCTCAAGAAGTGGGATAAAGATTGTACATCTGGTCTTAAGAAATTAAAGCGAGCGTTGATAGAGTATCCTGTCCTCAAGGTGGCAGATCCGTCCTTGCCATTTGTCGTCACCACTGACGAAAGTCAGTATGGTATAAGCGCCGTGTTACAGCAAGACGGCGACAATGGCTACCGACCCATAGAGTTCCTGTCAGCGAGGATGCCTTCAGAGAAAGTGGCTACCTCGACTTACGAGGGAGAACTCTACGCTCTCAGGCAGGCCTTAGAGCACTGGAAGCATTACCTGCTTGGAAGTTTATTCAGACCACGAGACTCATAGGTGGCTGAGAACGCAGGCCAAGATGACACCTAAGCGAACTAGGTGGGCCGCTGAGATAGATCAGTATTACTTTGAGCTCAAACCAATCAAGGGCAAGTATAATGTAGTTGCGGATGCTCTAAGTAGGAGTATATAGTTTACTATCTGGATATAGGAAGAGACCTGCAAAAGAAAGTAAGACAGGCGTATGCACATGACCCAATTTATAGCGACCTCCTCAAGAAAGTTAAGGAGGCCTCGAAGATTGAACCACATTACCGCACTACAGAGGGATTACTGTTTGAGAAGACCAATGTAGTAGACCGTCTGTGCGTTCCTAATAGTGAGGAGATCCGTAGTTTGATCCTGGGGGAATGCCACGATACAGAGGGACATTTCGGTTGGCAAAAGACTAGCCAATCTGATGCAATCGTATACTTGGCCCGGAATTCGCAGTTGCAAAGTCTGTCAGAGGAATAAGACAACTACGCGTGCCCCTCTAGGTCTTCTTCAACCCTTGCCTATACCTGAGCAGCCTGGCGATTCAGTATCCATTGATTTCATGGATGCTAGCATCAGAAGTAGGCATGGAAAGAGCCAAGTCATGGTAATAGTGGATAGATTTAGTAAGTATACTGTTTTTGTTCCCTCACCCGCAGAAGTCTGTACAAATTCAGAAGTGTTTTGACTTTTGGGTTAGTGATCACGGGATCCCATTGTCCATAGTTAGTGATAGGGACACCCGGTTTACAAGTCAGAACTGGCAGGAGTTAGTGAGAATATACGGCTCAAAATTGTTGATGTCGTCTGGCCGTCGCCCAGAGACTAACGGTCAGACAGAGCAGATGAATAAGATCCTGCAGCAAGTTCTGCGTATGTACATTAGACCAGATCAAGTCAACTGGGGTGAGATGTTGCCCAAGGTAGCCAGTGCATATAACAACAGCATGCACCTAGCCACCTATCGTACTCCCAATGAGCTGTACAAGTCCTTTAGACCGCACAGACCGTTTGAAGGACTTAACCGGGACCAGATTCATAGGCTACCGGCCGATACTAGGGAGTTTGCGATACAGCACGAGAAGGAGTTAGCTACCGTTGTTGAAAACCTCGGGAAGGCCCAGCACCGAATGATAGAGCAAGCTAACAAGCATCGCCGCCCGTCGGAGTTTCAAATAGGCGACCTAGTCTGGGTGAAGTCCAAAGAGTTTGCTCCTGAGGAAAACATTTCGCAGAAGTTACTGCCAGCATACCGAGGACCGTGGCCAGGGCGGAGAGGGTGGACCGTCCTATATGATAGAGATCCCAGCACACCTCCACACCTGGCCGGTGTTCCATGCGTCCAAGGTGTTTCCGTGTGTCACGAGTCAACAGTTTCCATCAAGAAGATCCATGATCCCTCCGGACATGGATGGAAGGTATGACATCGAGGGCATTGTAGGTGAAGACGTACTCAGAACAGCAGGTAGAGGTCGTCCACAGAAACAGTATAAAGTTCGATTTGCTTATCAGGAACCCGAGGACGATCGCTGGTTTACTACAACTGAACTTCTAGAAACAGCTCCCGACGTAGTTAGAGCCTATGATAGAGAAAAGAAAGGTAAAAATCCGGTCTCGGACAGAATTATTCTCGGAGGACCTCGAATTTAGGCCGGCGGGAGTGAAACGGTATTCACCTGTAAACGGTAGCAAATGCAGATCCCAGGGCTCGATCCCTAGTCATTACCTGACCTGTGTACAGTACCTGTGTCGACCTCGAGAGTTGAACCCTTGACCTGTGTGTTCGCAACAGTTGGTAGGCTATCGTAGGTCCGTAGGTTGTAGGAGTTCGATCTGTAGACCTGTCGGATAGAGGTCTTAGCGACTTCTAGAAGCCGTAGTTGTAGCTCCTCTGAAAGGTCAAGTTCGTAGCTGCTACAGTCCTGAAAGGTCAAGGTCGTAGCTGCTTCAGTGTCGAAGGGCCAAGTCCACAGACTTCCGGAAGGTCCGGAAGTGCCCACTCCAACGTTGCTCACAGTAGACTGGAGGCAAGTGGGCAAGTGGTGAAGTCCACCCTTGCTGAGTCAGCGGTACCGGTCCCAGTCAGTCCTAGTCCAGTCAAGCAAGTACCGTATGGGACTGAAAGCACCAAGGGCATGGGAAAGCAGCAGACCCCAGCCATTCATTCATTCCTGCGCAAGCCATGCGGAAGCGCTGCTTGAGCGACTTGTGCGAGGTGGTCTGCAGAGTGCCGGAAGACGAAGTGGGCTGAAGGGATAGTTAGCCATAGCTAGTGAGGGACGGCGGCCATAGCCGCCATAGTTGATAGACGAGTGTGTTAGTAGTAGTGTGTGTGTGCGTGTGGGATATCCAGGGTGATCCAGAGTGAGTGAGTGCGAACAGTGGTGTTGGACAGAGTGACGAGAGTTGGGTGGTACAGGCGCTGATGCGCCATAGCCTGTTGAAGCGAGCTTGTATCTGAACTGTGTATTCGACTTCCATATCTCTGAGCTTTAAGTGGGCGCTGTGCGCCAGTGTGATTCGCCATCCGTTTGCATGAGTGCGCAGTGGGAAAGAAAGCGAGTCTGATTCCATTTTCCCTGTGCACACTTCAATTCTGGTGGCGGCATGTGGGGCAGACCGCACTCTGTGGATGGGACGCTACAATACGCACACTCGCACCATGAAAAGGGAAAAAATAAAGGACACAGCACCCCCCCCCCCAAAAAAGCAAAAAAAAAAAACAGAGCGTTCTCTGGGCCTGGCTCCACGACTCACCAAATGTGCAAATGAGAAATGAATCTCCCCCCAGAACCTGCAAAGATACGCTACAGCATTTTTTCTCTTTTGTATGGAGTGGGGCGTATGTTCTCATTCCTTTCCTCGCTCCACAACTCTCCAAATGTAGCTCGCTGAACATGGAAAGATGCACCACCATATTTTTTGTCTTTTGTGCATGTGGTGAGCAGTTGAGCGAGGGGCGTATGCTCTAAACGAGAGTTCCCTTCCTCGCTCCACTACTCTCCAAATGCGCAAAATGAGATCGAATAGCCCGCTGAACATGGAAAGATACACCGCCATATTTTTTTGTCTTTTGTGCATGTGGTGAACAGTTGAGCGAGGACCCCCTATTCACCATTTGTCTTTTCTGCACGCAGTGAGAACCGCTGGCTGTGGCATGACATCGCCTCTTCTCAGGAGAAAACAATCTAGTAAATCTTTTGAAAAAAAAAAAAACGAAAAATCTACTTTTTGTCTTTTGTGCAGGTCGTGAGCAGTGGAGCGAGGCCCAAACGGGGCAAAGTTCAAATGGATCTTCCGCTAGAACAGGGAAAGATACACCGCCATGTTTTTGGTCTTTCGTGCCTGTGCTGAGGCCCGCTGGCTGTTGCATCGCATCGCGCCTTCAAATCTACTGAAAACAAAAACCAACGATTCTAAGATGCGAATCTAAGTTCAAATGAATTCTCCTGGAACATGAAAGATACACCACCATTTTTTTGTTTTTGTGCCTGTGGTGAGGCCCACTGGCTGTGGCATCACATCGCCCCTTCAAATCTACTGGAAAAAAAGTGACGAATCCAACAGGTGAATCTACTTGGGAAAAAAAAAAAAAAACACTTTCACTTCACGACACTGTGTAAGCACAGGAGGCCACACAGGCCTTCCGTTGGGCCTGGTCTTGTTCACGGCTTTTTCCCAACACTGGCCCGCCGAGAGCCGCATTTTCCTTTATAAGAGTAGTAGGAAAGAAAAACGTAAACATAATCAGGTCTCTCAACAGTCGTGCCCTTACGTAGAATGATCACTTGTATGTGCACACTAATGTTTCTTTGCTCTCAATCTGAAATATACAGAGAGGCTGGAACTGTCCACACTGTAAGCCATCAAAGGAATCATATGGTGAGAGGAAACTCACTTACCATGTGACCTCACTGTTTGGATATGCATACTGAGCTTGATTGGGATATGATGAGGTAACAGCCACACTCATAGCAGGAACTGCCAACCCTCCCTGTGACTGACCATAGGGGATTGCAACTGTCAACAAACATGCCACCACACATTGAAAAAGATGTCAATATACCGCCAACGCTCCTATCTTCCTACAGAAGCGGCAGCTGGTAATTAAAAGTGTCCTCTATACACATGCATCAACTAGAACACAAAATGCATATGCATGCTATAGCCACGGAGCTTCAGCTGGTCGAACATGTTCCCAAGCCAACGGGTTCAGCCAGTCCTAAAACAACTAACTGGCACTCATAGAGCACTCTTGTTCCCAAGCCAACGGGTTCAGCCAGTCCTAAAACTAAGCAATCATGGCATAGGGAAGATCACACAGTCACCCACAATGTAAGTTCACTTCCTGTCCATGATTCTCTAAGAGCTTCACTGGCAAGTTCGCCATTGCGATAAAATTCACTGAAGGACATTGTCCCCATCCAAAAAAATTGTCATCTATACCTGGGCCGTAAGCGCGGTCAATGTGCACAGCTGGTCCACCCGGCACTGCAGTTGCACCCCCAGCTGAATATGTATACGAGTTCCCTGTGACACCCAAACTGGCTACTGAGCCCACTCCTCCAGGCACCTGATACCCAGCACTGCCACCACTACGAGTCCCACTCGACCCTCCTCGCCCAGAACCAGCAGTCCTGAAACGTGTGTTGTTACCTGGCCCAGTAACTCCTAACACGCCCGAACTTGTCTTCTGTGGCAATTGACATTGCTCACCTGCCGTTGGTACAGATGCCACCAGTGCTGGCTGTTGACCCCCTGGTTTTGCTGCCTGCTGTGGTCCTCTAACCTGCGGAGCTGCAATTGCAGTTTGTTGTTGTGCCTGTGCCTGGGCCTGGGCCTGCGCCAGCCTGTAGCTTTGAGGGAGAAACACCTGTACAGTTGGGTTCAATTGGGACACAATGGCCTTCTTAGATGGCTGTTGAGTTTCCTCTGATTGTGCTGCCGAGGACACTTGTGGTCGCAACTGCAGTTGTGTGGATGACATCTGCACTTGTGTTGTCCCTAATGCTTGTGTCTTGGTCATTGTTTGATGTCGCTGTGGCTTATGGCCTGGATCTGAAGATGTCGACATCTGGGGCTCCTCAACAAGCCCTGACAGTGGGATCACAGCAGCCCCTTCACTTGACACCCCTTCTCCGCCACCGGATGTTGCTGGTGCACTTGGGGCCCCACCAGCTACCGAGCCAGATGTGCCTGTTCTCCCAATCACCACCTTCCGTGCAGCACTGTTTGTTGCACTAGTTACCCTTCCAACCCCGCCAGCTCTAACACCCATACTCGTGTAACCAATGCCACATGAACTTCCACCTCGCCCTCTTTCTCGACCCACCCTCCCAACCACTCTTCCGGATCCTCCGCTGCTGCCATACTTGCTGCAATCAAAATATCCTTCCTGCTGTCGTCCATCTGACCATGTGGCATTGTCAGAACCCCTGGTGCTTTCGGGCTCAACTCTTGTTACAGCTTGGTGTGACAGTCCAGGCACTCTCACTATCTGTCTTGGTGCCTCATCCACAATTATGCCAGGAGACCCCACAATTGGCGCTTTCTGTTGTCTATCCATGACATCCCTCTCTACACCTCCAGATATATCACTCGTATCACCACCATGGGTTTTGCTGGGGAAACACCATCATGAAGTCGAAATGGTTTCTGTCAGCAAAAGATACTGTCCACTCCATCAAACATGCATAAGTAACACGTTTAGTTGGTTAATTTTTTTTCTAGTTCCTTGCCAAACAGATGAACCCCTACCACCACGTTTAGTTGACAGAAATCGTTAATTTTCTCTACCTCTTTGCCAAATTCTGAACACACAAATCCCTCCCACAAAGTCCCACCACATTTCGTTGCGAGAAATGATGAATTTTATTGTAGCTCTTTGCCAAGTTCTGAACATATAAATCCATCCCACCAATTCACAGGGCGTCAGGGTTGCATCCCCGCCGACCGGTCGGGCCGACCGCCGACCGTATTGTGCCGACCGTATTGTACCGACCTATCAGGGCCAACCGGTCGGCGGTAGCCGACGGCTCAGACAACAGTCTCCCTCTGATTTTTTTTTTGTTCCGACTTCGGGTCTGTACTGTGCTTGCTGAGTACAGCCCAAATCCGCTGAGAAACTTTGGTTTCGGAGTGGGGGGGGGGTTGGGGGGGGGGGGGGGTTGGGGTTGGAGCATACCTGCAGCGCAAGTGTGCTGGTCACCGATGCGCAAAAAAAAAGAAGGAAAAAAAAGGGAAAAAAAAAAAAGAAAAAAGAAAAAAAAAGCGGCTGTTATTTGTGAGAACACGCAAGAGAGAGAGAGAGAGAGAGAGAGAGAGAGAGAGAGAGAGAGGAAAAAATGTAAACAAATAGCTCCTTATTAATATTTATTTCAAACCCCCTGCGGGTTATCCGAGAGGGCCCTGCACACAATGCAAGGGCCACATTGCCATGAACGAGGTAGTAGTCATAGCCATGCTGAAGGTAAGGTCCGTGTTTCAGCAGTTATGGGACCACTGAGCACGCGAGTTTCAGGGCAACAGCAGGCCAACTCACCACGTGCTTTTCAGGGCTTCCCTCCACTAAAAATGTGCAAAACTAGAATGAATCTTCTGCTAGAACATGGAACCGTACGCCGCCAAATGTTTTGTCTTTTGTGCAAGTGGTGACGAGAGAAGCAAGGCCCTTAGGGCCACTTGTCGTAGGAAAAGGAAACAAAAGAAAGAGATGAATGAATCTTCTGCTAGAACATGGAACACATACGTCGCANGGAAAAGGAAACAAAAGAAAGAGATGAATGAATCTTCTGCTAGAACATGGAACACATACGTCGCATATGTTTTGTCTTTTGTGCTGGTGACGAGTGGAGCAAGGCCCTTTGGGCCACTGCTCGCAGGAAAAAGAAACGAAAGAAAGAGAGAGCTACCGTAGTAAGTAGTTGTAACCTGTAACCCATAACTGCTTGAAAGCAGACCTGACTTCGGATCCAGAACATATATTGCTGGCCTGCTCTTCTTTTACACGAAATTTGCTGAACATCTCTTGAGATGTTGGGACCCTTGCATATGTACTGCTAGGGTCCTCCGCAAAAAAGACTATTCAACAAGGAATACATGGGCCTTTTTTTTTTTTGTGGGGAGGTGCACCATTGGCTACCTCAGCCAGCCTTCTCCAATTTTTTTTTTATATCCTATTTAGTGGGGTGCGTCGCATCACGTGCGCATGCATGCTTACACGTGCGGAGCTCGAGCGCACGCGATACGCCGCAGGTATGGGTTGGAGTATAGGCGGAGTATAGGGGTGATATAGGGGATATTGGGGGGGTTAATAAGGATGTTGGGGGCGGTTCGGGAGTGTTAGGTTGGTGTA